ATGTGCCGACAAATCCCTATAGGAGCTGCACATATCTCGTTCTCAGGGCACACCGGATGAGCGCTCCGTACAACTAAAACCAAACCTCGAGTTTCCCCGAAGGGCACTGCAAAGGGCTCTAGTTTGGACCAACACTCAGAGGAGCACTGGCCCGGGGGTTTAAAATAAAGATGACCCTTGATTCCGCGGAACCCAAGGGAAAAAGGCTAGGTGGCGAATGGTAAAACCAAGGTTGGGCCTTGCTGGAGAAGTTTTATTCAAGGCGAACTGTCAAGGGGTTCCCATTATAACCCAACCGTGTAAGGAACGAAAAAACAAGGAACATAACACCGGTGTGACGAAAACTAGGGCGGCAAGAGTGGAACAAAACACCAGGCATAAGGCCGAGCCTTCCACCCTTTACCAGGTATATAGATGCATTAAAGTAAACAAGTTATAATAATGATATCCCAACAATAAACATGTTCCAACAAGGAACAAACTCCAATCTTCACCTGCAACTAGCAACGCTGTAAGAGGGGCTGAGCAAAGTGGTAACATAGCCAAACAACGGTTTGCTAGGACAAGGTGGGTTAGAGGTTTGACATGGCAATATGGGAGGCGTGATAAGGCATGTGGTAGGTATCACGGCATAGGCATAGCAATAGAGCGAGCAACTAGCAAGCAAAGATAGAAGTGATTTCGAGGGTATGGTCATCTTGCCTGCAAAGTTCTCCGAGTTGACGTGAGCTTGATCCTCGTAAGCATACTCAACGGGTTCCTCGATCACGTACTCGTCTCCCGGCTCTACCCAAAGTAAGAACACAAGCAAAGGGAACCACGATCAACCATGGTGCAATGCGTAAGCAACATGATGCAAAACATGGCATGATATGCGGGATGTGATATGCAATGCATATGCGTGCTCCGGAAGAAATAGGTTGAACAAGGCCTCAACTCGGAAAACCAAGAGTGTTGCTGGAAAGATGAGTTGATTTCGGTCGAAATCGATATAAAGATCACCGGAATCGGATGCACGGTTTGCAAATGGCAAGCAAAACATTAATGGCACAAAGCTACGATTAACAGCACGATGCCATCTAAATGCATCAAGAAAAATAAGCTACTGCACTCTAACATAGCAACAAAGCACATGGCAGAGATCCACTCAAGATGCATTACAAAAGATGAACACTGAGCTACGGCTAAATCACACAATAGCAGGTTCAAACAAGCATGGCAAAAGTGCAAAAGATATCTGGTTCACAGACTTAGTGAAAATAACAACATGCCAGGATTTAACATCAGGAAGCAATGTTTAGAGCAAGATAACAACATGCAACAGGAATATATCATGGTAAAGCAAGGCATGGCATGAAACTAATCAAAGCATATAATTCCTTTATTGACCATAAGCCAAAAAGGATCAGAAAATACAATGGCAACCGTGTAAACATAGCAAGTTTCTTATCAGATTCAGACTTAGCAGAAAACTGGGCATGTCAAAAACAGAGTTACGTAGGCATGTTTGCGAGCTCGGTGCACCCACCACAAGGCATTGCTTGACAAACTAAGCATACACTCAGCAAGAAGACATGATCAAGTAGCTAACCATGGCAAGAACAACCTCATAGCATGCTTAGATCAACTACAACAACCTCGGCAAAATTGATTAACACGTAAATAATCTGCCAGGAACATTTTATAGCAAAAGTAGAGCAAGATTGAGTCATGCTAGGGTATTCCATAATTGCAAACAAAGACATGGATGGATAGATCATAATAATATCTCAAAATCATCCTTACTGAACATGCTCAAAAGAGGCATGTATCACTTTGTAGCAACATGAATACACGCATAAAAATAATATCAGGGAAATGACTTAGAAGAATTCTATGTCCCTGAAATCAGCAACATCACGAGAGCTACTTTGCATGCTTGTGCTAGTCACCAAAATGATCAAAAAATACATGGCATACACCCCTGTAAAGATGGCATGGCATAGCCCAAAACACATGTAGGGTTCAAGTTCATAGGAGGCACACATTAATCATGGCAAAAATGACAAATGTCCATAATCTGTTAAGAAACAGACACTAACATTATATAGCACTCTTGCAACAGCATTTAGGGCATCAAGATTAACTCAAATGAACAAGGTGCAATGTAATGAAATGAGGTGCACATCCAGACGAACAATTTGATATGCTAAACGCCCAAAACGGAGCTACGGATGCAAAGTTATGATGCGATGAAGATAGCTAAAAATGTTGGGGACTTAGGTAGAAAACGGGGCAACCTCTAGGGTTTCACTGTAGCTGGATCTAGATCCGGACGGCACGCGAACCGAGGATCGACGATGCTTCTCACTGGAGTTCTCTTACCGGACGGTGGCCGGGACTCGGGGAGGAGGCCGGAGCTTGGAGCGGGCGGCACGGGGTCGTCGGGGCTCGCCGGCGAC